AAAATACGATAAATACGTTATCAAAATATTTTCGAAGAAACGTATTTTATTCATTTTAAAACGTTTGGGATGTCATCGTCAATACAGAAACATAAGCATAAACAGAACTTACATTTATTTACACTAGTGATCTACATCTCTGTAATCTCTCAGTGTAATGTGACCTCATATCAACACCTGTGATATAAATAAACTGAGTGGGTCGGGTTGGGAAACCTGGTGAGAACTGAGTGGGTCGGGTTGGGAAACCTGGTGAGTACATAGGGTTTTCAACCCACAATAATATAATTATTATGTTTAAACAATCAAACAATCAACCCAATTACCCATCCCCATTATCTTCTTTAATCGTAAGGATCTACCCTAAGAATCAACTATTCCTCGTTCATTCATTCCTAAGGATCATCCTAAGGAATCGGCACAAAGTCCATCGTTGCCACGATTTACACAACGGGCACTAAGTCTGCATAGTCGTCAGGGTTTAGGCATCAAGCCTGCATGATCACCAGGGTTTAGGCATCAAGTCTGCATGATCACCAAGGTTTAGGCATCAAGTCTGCATGATCACCAGGGTTTAGGCATCAAGTCTGCATGATCACCAGGGTTTAGGCATCAAGTCTGCATGATCACCAGGGTTTAGAGTACACCGGGTGAACACATCGTTCACAACACCTACATGTTGCGAGCCTGCTAGTGTTCCACTAGACTGTCTAGAATAGTCCGTGGTTGTCATCCATACTCTGCTAAATGACGGGGCCATCATTTGGGAAGAACGCTTCTCACATCGTACACCTCTCACCCTCACCTCGTGGTCTATAACACCTCTCAACTCATCATTCAACTCATATTCCATCTATTATATCTACCCATGTTTACCCCAACATTATCGTAGATATAAAATACATATACAGTTTAAATCATTTAAAACATGTATAAAATCGTTCATTTAGCATAGACAACAAGTACTCAGATAATATGCACACATAGCACGTAATTTATATAAAATACTTCATATCTATGTGTAAGATAAAAGTAACTATGCACTCACTTGAAAAGGTGGTGATTCCGAACTCAGACAACGCTTCACTTCTTGAAAAAAAAAAATTCCTTCGACGAAACCTAGTATTATTACCACTAGAGTTTAGTATATTATTCACCGAGACTAATTAATAGTCTAGCTATTATTACTATTATATAACCGTTAAATAATACTTATATAACCCATAATAATAACCCAATTACTTATTATATGTTCTTAATAATGCTAATATAATTAAATAAAAACTATATTAAAAATAGCGTAGGAGTAGCTCACTTACAGCGGGTTTTATAGAAAACCAAGCTTTGCTTGGAGCAGCATTCCCGTGCGGAAAAGCTCTTCTTCTCGGAGCCGTCGAGCACTCAGGGGCTTCCGCCTCGGCTTTTCGGGGGGTTTCGGGGCTAGAGAGAGGTTCTAGAGAGAGAGAGAGAGTAAAGATAAGAAAGAATGAGAAAGGTGTGAAGAAAATGAGGGTGGGAGAGGTTCTATTTATAGGGTGAAAATGGCTGAACTTGATGCCACATGTCACCATCTAGTGGCAAGACTTGGGGAGAAAGCAATGGCCAAGATTGTGCCACATCACCCATTTTCGCACAACACACTTCCGACTTCTAAAATCCGTAACTTTCACATACGACCTCCGTTTTTGACATTCTTTATATCCACGCGTAGGTAAAAACAATATCTACAACTTTCATTTTGACTATGTCGGTTAATTCTCAACCAATCTTAAATTTAACAGTACTAGGCGTTTAGACAGTTGAATGACCGCGAAGAATTCGTAACTCCTTCATACGGACTTTGTTTTCGTTTGTCTTTTTACTGTTAAGTTCCTATTAATGAGATCTTCAACTCTCATTTAAGTCACATAAGCCAAAAACCGCTCGAACTAAAATTCAAGTTTCGGGCCGTACACTGCTAAGCCGAATCTTAGAAAAATCATAACTTCTTCATACGAAGTCAGATTTGGGCGTTCTTTTTATGGATTTTATCGGTTTAACAGATTCTACGACTTTCGTTTAGATCACTAAGGCTAAAAAGTCCTCCATCATAAAATCACTATTTACGCTTCCTGGTGTCGTGTCGGTTCCGTCGCGAAACTTCGACGGGTCATAACTTCTTCGTTATAACTCGGATTTCGACGCTCTTTATATGTACGGAAACCTTGTGACATATTCTAAAACTTGGTTAAGATTATTTATTCTAAGTAATCTTTTGTCGAAAAGTCATTTTCGACCCCTATGACCTCTAAATTGACTAGCCCGGGTCAACGGACGTTACATATATGGATTCCAATCCATAAACATCAATCCATAATTAGGGTAAAAAGACCATTTTACCCCTTAACTAGTTTGGACCAAGACTAAGGCCCAAACCTACAATCCAAAAAATACCAAAATAATTATCCAAGGCCTGAACATGGCCTAAATTTACAAATTGTGCCCAAACCCCTTTCATGGGCCTTGATCCAAGGTCCAAAAATATTCCTACCCCAAAACACCTGAATTCAGATGGTCGAACAGGCCCTAAACATCTAAGCCCAAAATATGGTCCAAACCGAAGACCTAATGATACGAGGCCCACTCTACTGAGTACGTGGGGCGTACTCAACTCGTATGTGTAGTGTACTTGCCTTAGGGCTTGTAAGGTAAGCGTACCTTCTTGTACGCCCAACATACTCTCTCATTCATCCATCTTCCATTTCCAACTCTTAACTGATTAATACATCACTCCACAACTAAGATCTGACCTCCTTGGGCTGGTTTATTATGTAAAGTTGCTAACTTTACGTGCATGCATGGCTTAATGAAGCTCTTAAAGCTCAAAAGGACTTAATAGATGACTTAGTGCATGTATGAGACCATAAACACCATAAAGTTTGCACCTTTAAGATTAAGAAACTCACAATATGCCCAGATCTAAAAGAATAAGCCCCATAAATGACTTAACCCATCAAACTAACCCAAAGGGGACCAAAAGCATAAAAAAACCAAGACCAGAAGAGATCTAAGCAAGGAGAAGACAAGGTATGAACTTGATATCTCAAAAGACTTGCAAAATGAGTGATGATTCTGGATCTCTAAGCTTCACACCAAGTAAAGCATCTTCAATCTTCTTCAAACCCTTCAAAATGAGCAAAATAAGCACCAACTTCTTCTCAAAAGCTCAAAGACACAACAATGGAGGCTAAGGGTCGAAATCTAGGGTTTTAGGGCAATGGAGGCTAGTAAAGATGCCAACCCTAAGGACTTAAGGACCTTATATAAGGTGCAACAACCTAAAACTAGGGTTTATTAATATCCACGTACGCCAAGCATAACCCTCATATGCCTAGCATACGAGGCCTTGCATTTGCGACCAACATCACCTTGGAACGCTAAGTGTACCATGTGGTATGCATCGCGTACTAGCTTCTTAGCTAGTACGCTAAGTGTACCATGCGGTACGCCGCGCGTACTACTCCAAGGACCAATAATGCAAAAAATTAGATATAAACGGCAAATAAGGAACACACTCTAACAAGCGTTACACAACTAACTTACTACATGTTAATGGAAGTAGCTCGTTACTTAGAAATGCATACACTAAACCTTTGCCCTTTTTAGCTAGAAGGATGTCCAATAGACCAAGTGTACAAAGAAAAAGACATGCGAGTAAGCCTAGTGACGAAGGGGTGGCGGTAGATGATCTAGAGGTGGTGGAGTGGTAGCTAAAGCCAAAGATAAATAGGTTAAGCATGATGTAAAAGGGAAGAGCACTACTACAGGTGGGCAGTGGTGGAATTAAAGAAACTAATGTAATCAAATTGCAATAAACTATAAATAATATGAAGAAAAAAAATCCAAATACTCAAATGAAGAAATTATGCATGCCCGTAATACCAAAGAAAAGGAATTTGAACATAGCTTTGGTGTCAAAGATATTTTGTTGATGTGCCTACGTCCACAAAAATCATTATATTCTCAAGAGAGTTTCTACTCCTCAAAGTTTACACATGACTTCAACATCTAGGGTAAATGAAGTGAATGGGGATGTGGTTGTATTCACGATTTTACAGCCTAAACTCATGAACTCATGAACTAGATACTTATTTTGAGATAATAGTTAAAAAAAAATGATTTTACAACCTAAACTCATGAACTCATGCACTAGATACTTATGTTGAGATAATAGTTTTAAAAAAAATGTCACGTATATATGTTAGTGTTGTAAAAATGAACACAAACAAAAGTTTGTTCATGTTCATTTGTTTATGTTTACAACACAACCGATATATAGATTGTACTTTGCAATGTCTCTTTAAACATAAACGAACAAATACAAAAGAATGTTCACAAATACAGATGACGGATGCCATTTATTTAATCAAGTGAACAAAAAACGTATTCATATTCATTTATTTATTAAATAAATGAATATAAAAGAAGTTTTGGCAGAATGGTTTGCTAACCCGTTTGGTTGGTTTGTTTTATAACCCTAGATATAATGATTGCAATTTTGCTAAGTATCATAGTTGCACAAATTATCATTGTCACATTAAAACAGATGAAATACCTGCTTTTAGCTAAGGTGGACAACCAAAGGTATATTACTTAACATTAAAGTTGAATTTAAATAAATCCTTACTTTATGCAGTTAGACCTTTCTAAACTATCACGATCTTTTTGTTACATTTCTTCACTTAAAGTAGCTTTCAACGTTTACAACAGAAACAACAAATTATAACTTACATCCCCATACTAAATATGAGTCGGCGAGTTCATCAATATAAAATTTTTAATGTAGCATGAGTCATCCAGTTCATGTGAGCAAACAAACCCACCAATAATTCATGCTTTATGTTACAAAATTGAGACTAATATTACTTTCACATTCACACCATTCTTTTTCATATACCAATTTCATCCATTTCATATAAAAAAAATGGTCCATTAAAGTTCTATTAAATTTATAACGCATTAAAAAAAAGTCTAAAAACTCACTCAATATATTCAATTATCTACAAAACAAATTGTTTATTTCGAAAACCATACTCTTATTCTAATTTTTCCTATCATATTTAATATATCAATTATTTATAAAACTTAAAATAAAAACAAGAGTTTTAAAGTTTAGTGCATACCTATACAAACTACAATACTCCAACTTTAAAAAAAAACGACACCCCAAATAAACAACAAAAGAAAACCCACCGACCCACTTCACTTCACTTACTAATCCCATGAGACCCCAAATCCGCCGCCGCTTGCGCCGCCCTACTCAAAGCACCCGACATCCAAAGAGCACCTTTTGAAAAATAACTACTATTAACCACCGTAGTAGCGGCGGCAGCCGCCGTCCTTCCGGTGGCAGACACAACCGATTTAGTTGTATCCGATATATGATACCTTTGGTCAACCGACCGGACCGCCTCAACTCCGGCAAACACCTTGTCGGTCAACCCCATCCGCTCACTCAACTCCGCCACTTTTGCCGCCGCACTGGCGGAAACCTGATGTGACTCATCGAATTGTTTGGCTTTTCCGAGAGCATCTTTGCCTAAAATGTAGCCTTTCGCTATCATCGTTTTCACCACATCTTGAGCTAACGTCACCGCTTCGCCAGCTGTGTATGCGTATTGGTCTGCATGTATCTGTCATGATTGATAGAGAGATTGTATTTGTAACACCTCAAGTCCAAAATTAGTGAATGACAGTAGACAGTTGATAAATATTTTATTTTGAATTTTTTGTTTAGAATTTATATTTTAATATGTTACAACATATTAAAACAACTAGCAATGTAAAATAAATAAAAACCCAAAAAGAGGATTTAATGTCATAAATGAGTAAAAGACTATTTGTTCTTTTACAAAACACCCTTGTTTTATACGTAACAAAATATCATTAAAAACTCTAAAAATAAAAATATTTTGGGAACAAAAAGTTCAAGTTGCTTACCCTTTGTTGGTACTTTCTTATATCAATGGTGTTTTGTGAACGAAAAAAATAGTTCGATACCTTTATGAGCTTAATTAAACCCAAAAAAAAAAATTGAATAAAGGTTATTTGATTGATCTTGTCAAATAAGAGCGTAAAGAATGAAACAGGCTACTCGAATGTTAAAAAGCTTTTTTTAACCCAAAAAGCATATGAAAAAGCTGTCATTGGAAATGCTCTTATATAGGGCTGTAAACGAACCAAACGAACACGAACAAGGTCTTGTTCATGTTCGTTCGTTTAAGTTAGCCGAACAACAAACGAACACGAACGGATAAACGAACGAGATTTTCTTGTTCATGTTCGTTCGTTTAACAAATTATTTTGTTCATGTTCGTTCATTTATGTTCGTGAACATGCTAAACGAACATAAACGAACAAACATAAAAAAAAACACAATTGAACATATATGAACATAAACGAACATATAATATAGCAATATAATAAAAAATAATTGAATATAGATGAACATAAATAAACTTAAACGAACGAACATAACGAACGTAAATGAACATCATAAACGAACGTTCAAGAACATAAATGAACGAATGAGACCATTGTTCATGTTCGTTCATTTAACTAAACGAACGATAATTTTTGTTCATGTTCGTTCATTTATTAAATAAACGAACTTTCCGCCGAACAGTTCACGAACGGTTCGCGGAACGTTCAGTTCGTTTACAACCCTACTCTTATAGTCTTATAATTTGTCTTGCTCTTTTATCCATGTGGGACGTGTTTTTACAGTTTTATATCTAACGAATATTTTTGTATATAAAGAGAAAGATATGTTACATTTGAACTACTCCCGTCATCATGTGAAAATGACTGCTGGTTCCAAAACTCGGGTTCGTCCACATCTTGTCCCCATCGCGTTATGCAAACGGTTTGATCCAAAAGTGTGGCTCCCTAAAAGAGTTTGAAAATATTAAGGTTTAATGATTGTTGTTTTAATGTTGTGATGTGACCACATAAGAAGAACTTACACTAAGTAAGACGGCTGTTTCTAGAGCGTACGCGTCCTTAAAGGTTACGTAAGCCGTACACGCGTATTCCCCACCTCTGTTAGATAAAAAAAAGTCTAATTAGATTATACTTGTGTGGTACACTAGGGGCTTGTTTTGTCATTTTCCCTTTCTTAGCTTAAGTATATATATATTATTTTTCCTTTAACTTTCATAACTATTAACTTTTACTTGATTTGTTATAGTTCTATTTACTAACTACACCAAAAGAGTTGTTAACTTAACTCAATTCACACAATTATCACCAAAATTTATTATGTGAAGAGAAAAAAGATATCACATAGTGATAAATGTAACAAATTGAAATCACCTGACAATATCAACATGCTCGATCGCACCACAAAAAGCAAAGAAATTGTAAACATCTTGATCTGTTGCCCTTGGGGAAAGGCCTGTAACTTCAACAATATGTTCTAGAGTCATATCCAAATCTGCCAAATTCAAAAGATCATTCATTAGTCATTAAGACATTAACATGTACATAAATAACCAACATATGTATCAAAAGGTTGTGATTTGCCTTGATCTACATATATACAAGAGTAGAATAAAAGGCAAAAACAATTACAAGTCTTTTACACCAAATTAGATGGGTAGAGAAGTAGACTAATATGAAACAGAAGAAAAAAAAAACTGATAATCATTAATCAACCAAGAAAACAATTAAACACCCAATTGTAGATGGATTCTAAAAGAGAGGATACTGCAAAATCACTTTTGTGATTCTAATCCTCAGATTCAAGATGCAACTGAATTTGAATCAACATTCATTAGCATAAATATTATACGATGTTACTGCTGCATCTCAATAAAGAAGAAAAGGGATTCAAGAAAATGTTCTTCTCAAGCAAATTCCTTTATGGAACCTTGCAAACCCTAAGTAATTTCAATAACACGTACTGTATTGTCAACTTAATTTTGGTAATTGGTAATCACATTAACAGATTTACATATCGACTGATGTTCTTTAAAAAAGGATTCAACAATTACCTTCAATAAAGTTCACACAGTGCTTCAATCAGTCAAAATCAAAATCAAAAACATGAACAAGCTGAACAAAAGATCGTATTAAATCAAAAGATTACATCAGATAAAATAGGAATCAACTCGATCCAATGGTAGCGTACCTCTTATCTTCAGTGATATGGCGAGATCTTGCGAGAGAGTGGAGTCGATTGCTAGAACTAGAAGTTTCTGCACAAATAATCAAGGACAACTTCTCACGTTGAAAAAGGATACGTGGATGAAATTAATTGGTTGTTACAAACCCATTTTTTTTATTTATTTTTAATAATTTTTTTAAGACCAGCTGTTGCAAATCCGGAGTCTTTGTTTTAGATCTTATATGAAAGGACTTTGTTTATATTCTTTTTGATATCAGCAAATGTAAAAATTTCGGGGGATTTTAGGAAGTCGGCAATATTTATAAAAATGGTCCTTGCTTAATTGAAAAAGTATAGAAATCGTCTTTAAGTTTCATAAAATTACATAAATGGTCCCTTTCAATTCAAGTAATGAATTTATTGTCCTTATATTTAAAAAACTAAAAAAATGTCCCTTCATTTCACTAAAAAACGAAATCGTATTTGCCTAATTGAAATATTACAAAGTTGGTACTATATTTCATAGAATTACATAATAGACATGCATATTAGGGAATTTACATAAATGGTTTCTATGTTTCAAGCAAAGAAGAGAAGTAATCAAATGCTAAGAAGGTATAAATCCTCCCCCTCTAACTTTATTTTTGAGGTTATGGTCCCCCGATGTCGAATTTGGCTACAATAAATGATTAGGGTTTGGTTTTCTAATCTCCCTTGAGTGGGTTTCATGGTTCTGATCTCAATTCAACCATCTCATTGATGGATTTGATGATTTGGGTAAAAAGTTCCGTGAACCCTAGAAATCTAATTTAGAGGTATTGTAATTGATGATCAAATCGGATTGGATTCTATGACCTATATGATATTTGATAGCAAAAAATCTAATTAGAATGCTCAAATTCCATGATGGTAGAATCAAGTATAAACATGGATTTGTATTAATTTTGGGGGAAATTGGAATGAAAACAATAGAATTCTTTGTGTGTGAGTATTTAATGAGTATATTGTTGGATTAGTGTCTAAGTTCATAACTATATTTGGTATGTACTTGACCCAGTTGTAGCATGGTCTTTTTGTGTTGCCTTCATCGGAGCAACTTTACTAGATGATTAGTGGAGAAAGAGGATATTATGGTTTATTAATATATTATATAAATAATATATTAAAAGCGAAATCATTATGATTAATTAATATTGGTCAAGAATTAATTAAGAAATTAATTTTGTGATCAAAAGATATTAATTAAACTTAGGGGACTGGAATTGCAATTATAAGATAATTGGATTTTGGGTTGTGGATCATATGGATAAAGGGGTAGACGAAATTACGGTGGAAGCCTACCTTGAAATCGTTCAAGGCCTTATTCCAGAAGGTTCCATTGGACTGTTTAAGGCATAAGCCATCCAATTAGGGTTTTGACTGAAACCCTAGCAGCTCCACTATATAAGGACCCCTAGGGCTTCAGAGATTGGCTGCTAGAAACCCTAAGAAATCTTAGAGCCAATTTTGAGCCTCTCATCCCCTTTCTCAAAGATCATCCAATTTGCTTTGGTGTTTGTGATCCATTAGAGACATTGCATTTGAGGTGATAGGTTCTCATAAATTAAAAATCTTCAAGAAACAATCAAGGTAACATTCTTATCGGTTAATTATGTTATTTTCAAAATTTTGTTGTATGCTAGATTAGGGTCTGTAAGCTTTGGATGATTTGTATGTATAATAGAGAAACCTAAATCCAAAGCTTTAGGGTTTGCATGTGTACCATAGGATTGATGTATTGCTCAAAACCCATTAGTGGTATCAGAGACTTCATTGGTTTCTATTGTATTTGATGCATAGTATGATTATTCATTTCTTAAAATCGAAATTTTTGCTTTATGCCTGACAAACTCATCGAGTCACCTGATGAAGTCGACGAGTCCAGATGGTGAATTGGCGAGTCGGAGAGTCAGACAGAGGAAATTTTGAGATTTTGGCTTATTTTGACTTGGGATAATAACCAAAAATGTTTTTTGATTAATAAAATCCGAATTTTATTAATATGATGTGATTATCCTTATCAAAATAGAAGGTAATTGTCAATTAATTAGATAATTATTACCTTATATGATAAACTTTAATTATTTGAATTATTTGAAAGAATTATCTTGCCATGGAATTGGATTAGGTCAAAATTAGATAATCACCAATTAATTATTTAATTAAATTATTTGAATTTTGATCTAGAAAGTTTTGAAAAGTTTCAAAACTTGCCCTCAAGTTTTGGAATTTAAATTTTGATTAAAAAGTTTAATTTTGAAATATTTAAATTTTAAACCCTAAAATTTTACAAGTTTAAAATTCAACCCTTATACTATTATAATCGTATAAGAATAATGATTATATATATATATATATATATATATATATATATATATATATATATATATATATGTATGTATGTATAAGATCGATGCTAGTCTTACCGTTAGTAGGTCTCATTCACGAAGCCGATCTACAAGGGGGTATAAGGTTGCTCCTTATAAAATGGCAGTTTAATGGGTGTCCACTCTCACCCACCGTTTCCTTGATTGGTGGAGGGTCGTTAGCCAAATGGGTAGGATAAGGCAACTAATTCCTCGTTAAAAGTATAATGGTTAATAAAGTAAATAAATGTTTTTTTTATAAAATTCACAATCTTAGTTACTTTAGGAAAAGTGTGAAAATGATGTTATTCCATGAAATTACACTTTCTACCATTGCCAAGACGTTAGTGGAGCGTGTGTGGTTAATCGACACACTAATTTGGGTCTAGAAAAGGTGGAAAAGGGTGACTCGATGTTTGTCATAGATCAATGGAGCATGTGTGGCTAAACTGCACATTGATTAGGTGACTGTAACATTGAGGGCACCAAGTACATTTGCATGGTTATTCACACCTTGTTTGTGATCCTCGGTATCCCAGTCACAAACTTGAAGGGCATATCGAGATTTAAACATGTCATTGAAAAGTTCAATGAATCTCAAAAGTTCTAGGAGTTTCAATACATTTAAAACTTAATCTTTTTTTGGAAATTAGTGAATCGTCATTCACTTACCTTCAAATTATTTGTGATTTAGATTACGGCACCCATCTTCTAAATTGTGAATAATGTTGTTGAATCCTAGCCCCAATTTCTCAGTTGGGTGTTTAATTGGGGATTCTTATCTAATCAAACTTTGTCTTTCTTATTTTTCAGATGTCTACCTCAAATAACAACAACGCTTCTGGCTCGAACTCTTCCGGCTCATTCTCACTCATGAATTTGTGTGCGGGAGGGGGGGGGGATTTTCGATGGGACCAATTTTAATGATTGGATACGCAACATTCGAATGGTTACTTGCTACGAGGACAAGGAGTATGTCCTAGACAAGGAGCTGAAAGAAGTAAATGTCAACACTACTACTCATAAGGAGACCGCTGCCTTTGGGGCTCATGAGCGCGATGCTATGATAGTCTATTGCATCATGTTCGCGACTATGACTGCCGAACTCCAAAAGTCCTACGAGGACTACCCCTATGAGATGCATCATGATTTACTGGACATGTACCACCAAAGTGCCAGGCAGGAGAGGTACGAGATCATCACTTTGATGATTACTACCAAGATGAAGGATGGAGAGTCCGTCACGGCCAACCTGCAGAAAATGCAAAGATATATTGACCGCCTGCTGAAGTTAAATTTTAACTTTGATGAGGAGCTGACGATTGATATCATTCTTCACTCCTTACCTCCTTGCTACAACCAGTTACGCATGGCCTACCACATGAACAAGGAGGGGGTTACTTTGAGCAAGCTTCAAGGCTTGATGAGGACTGTTAAGAGCAACCTCAAGGACAAATCTGTTGCATCAACTCCTACTGTTGATGCCCCCGTCTTGGCTATTAGGCAGGGGAAGGGTAAGAAGAGGAAGGCTCTTTCCAAAAGCCACCATAAGGGAAAGTCCCAAGATGGCACCTCTTCTAGTGGAACCAAGGTTGGTCCCAGTGCACCCTCCTCCAACCCGAAGGATGCAGAATGCTACTACTTCCATGAGAAAGGGCATTGGAAATGAAGTTGCCCGAAGTATCTGCAGTACATCAAGGATGGAAAGATAAAACCATCCTTCATAGGTACTTATACTATTCAATCTAATAACTCATCACATGCTATTTCTTGGGTTCTTGATACAGGATGTGATTTTCACATTTGTTCTGATTTGTAGGGCCTAAGAAGAAGTAAGGATGTGGAGCATGGGAAGATAAACTTGATCATGGGGAACAGAAGAGCATAGCCTATCACCAAGATTGGAGTTTACTCTTTAGTGCTTAGTAGTAGGTTAGGAATAGATTTGAATAATTGTTGCTATTCACCATAAATGGAAAGAAACATAATTTCTTTTCATGGTTTATATAAACAAGGTTTTAGATTTTCGTTTGATAATGAAAAGGGTTTTATTAATGATTTCTTTAATGGTGTTTTCTATTTTGAAGGATTTTCTTGTAATTGAATATATGAAACTGTGATGGTTATAGACAACTTAGGAAATGATGTGTTATATGTCGATTCTTCCAATGATTTGGATAAAGTATGCTTGTGGCATTGTCGTTCTGGACATGTTAACAAGAAACGCATAGCCCAACTCCAAAAGGATGGAGTGTTGGAGTCATTCGACCTTAAGGACGATGACGTGTACGAGTCTTGTTTACTTGGAAAGATGACCAAGTCACCTTTCACTGGTACTTGTGAAAGGAGTGAGGGTTTATTGGATCTCATACACACTGATGTGTATGGGCCATTTAGATCCACCACAATGGATGCAAGCCACTTCTATGTGACTTTCACCGATGATTATATAGGATATGAGTATATCTACTTAATCAAGCACAAGTCAGAAACTTTTGAAAAGTTCAAAGAGTTTAAGCTGGAAGTGGAGAAGCAGTTGGGCAGGAAAATTAAGATGCTCCAATCTGATCGAGGTGGTGAGTACCTTAGTCTTGAATTCCACGACTACCTATAGGAATGCAGAATCATTTCACAATTGATGCCACCTAGGACACCGCAGTTGAATGGTGTTGCTGAGAGGCGTAATCGAACCTTGTTGGACATGGTTCGTTCCATGATGAGTCGTGCTTCATTACCTATCTCATTCTGGGGGTATAACTTAGAG